CATCCTTTTTTTTTTCTGGCAGCCCATTCCATTTGCACACAACTCTGAACAAGTTGCCCCTTGGGTCCTTTTAAATCTATCCCCTCACCTTAAACCTATGTCCTCTAGTTTTCAATTCCCCATTCCTGGGGAAAAAGACTATAAGCTTTCATCCTATCTATGCCCCTCATGATGTTACATCCCTCAATAACGTCACTCTTTATCCCTCAGAATGTAGGAGAATGAAGTCCTATCCTGGCCAACCTCTCCCTATAACTCTGGCCTATGAGTTCTGGCAACATTGTCATAAATCTTTGCACACTTTCCAGTTTAACTATGTATTTCCTATGACAGGGGGATCAAAGCTGTATATAATACTGCAGGTGTGGCCTCACCAATGACTTATCCAACTGTAACAAAGCATCCCAACTCCTATTCTCAATGCCTTGATTGATGAGGGCCAGCATGCTAAATGCCTTCTTCGCCACCCTGTCCACCTGTGACACCACTTTCAATGAACTATGTAATTGTAGTCCCAGGTCCCTCTGTTCCACAACACTCCTCAGGACCTTACCATTTACTGCATGAGTCCTAACTTGGTTTGACTGTCCAAAGTGCAACACCTCACACTTACCTGTATTGAATTACATTTGTCAAACCTCAGCCCACTTCCCCATCCGATCAAGATCCCTCTAATTTTTGACCTTCCTCACGATCAACAATACCTCCTAATTTTGTATCATCTGCAAACTTGATAATCATGCCTTGTATATTCACATCCAGTTCATTTTTTGTAAATAACAAAAAAGGTTCCAGCACTGACCCCTGTGGCACACCACTAGTCACAGGCCTCCAGTCTGAGAAACAACCTTCCAACTATCACCCTCTGCTTCCTACCATCAAGCCAATTTTGAATCCAATTAGCTAGTTCTCCCTGGATCCCATGCGACCATACCTTCATGATTAGCTTGCCGTGTGGGACCTTGTCCAAGGCCTTAATAAAGTCCATATCGACAGTACTCACTGTCTTGTCCTCATCCATCCTCTTGGTTACCTCTTGGAAAAACTCAGATTTGTCAGACATGACTTCCTGTGCAGAAATCCATGCTGGCATAAGCCTAATCAGACCTTGATTATCCAAATATTGGTTGATCCTGTCCCTCAGTATCCTCTCCAATAACTTGCCTACCACTGATGTCAGGTTCACTGGCCTGTAGTTCCCTGGCTAGTCTTTGCTACCTTTCTTAAACAATGGAACAACATTAGCCATCTTCCAGAACTTCGTAAGTGGCTAAAGAAGCCAAAATCCCTGCAAGGACCTCTGCAAGTTCTGTCTTAGCCTCCAACAATGTCTGAGGATGGACTTGATCAGCTCCAGGAGATTTACCCACCTTTAGAGTTCACCTAAGGCTGTTAACACCACCTCTCTGGAAATGTGTATGCAGTCCAAAAGCTCCCCAGTTGTTTCCCTTATTTCCTTGTCATCCATGACACACTCCTCAGTAAACACTGAGGAGACATTCATTTAAACACACTCTCCACCCACCCCCACCCCCCTCCACACGCTCCATGCCTAGATGGCCATGCTGATCTTTAAGGGGACCTGTTCTGTTCCCAGCCACCCTCTTACTCCTAGTATAGCTATAGAATGTCTTGGGATTATTTTTAACCTTATCTGCCATCTCATACCCTCTTCACTCTTCTGATTTCCCTCTTTAGGTGTGCTTCTACACTTGAGGGAGTTGGGTAAGAAGTTAAAAAGCAGTACCTCAAGGGTAGTGATCTCTGGAGTACACAGTGCCACGTGCCAGTGAAGATAGAAAGAGACCAGATGAATGCATGGCTGAGGAGCTGGTGTAGGGGACAGAGTTACAGTTGGATCATTGGATCTCTTCTGGGGTAGAGGTGACCTGTACAAGAGGAACAAGTTGCACTCTAACTGGAGGGGACCCAATAGCCTTGTGGGGAGATTTGCTAATGTTACCTGGGAGGGTTTAAATTAGATTGGCAGGAGGTGGGACTCTGAATAAGAGAGGGGCTGTTGAGAAGTCAGGGGGAAATACGTTAGTCATAGGGCAGAATTACAATTCAGGATAGTCGGGGGCACAGCAAAGGGAAGATAAATACTTCTGGTTTAAAGTGCATCTATTTGAACACGAGGCCTGACTGGCAAGGCGATGAGCTCAGAGCTGAGATATTATAGTCATAACAGAAACATGGCTGAGAGAAGGAACACAGAACTGCTAGTCTTGCCCAGGATACAGAAGCTACAGGCATGACACGCTCGTAAGTAAGTGAGGAGGGGATGTTGCCATTTTGATAAGGGAGGACACAACAGTGATTAGAGAGGATATTCTTAACAAGTCATTAATTGAGGCCATGTGGTTAGAACTTTAAGAAGGGGATGGTCACTCTTGGCACTCTATAATAGACCCCAAATAGCCAGCAGATGTAGAGATTACAGATATCTGTAGGAATAATAGAATAGTATTCGTTGGAGATTTTAATTTCCCCTGTATTGACAGGGCCACCCAGAATGTAAAAGGTCCAGATGGAGTGGAATTAATCAAATGTGTGTAAAAGTTTCCTAAATCGATATGTAGAGGGTCCTACTCGAGGATGCAACACTGGACATCCTCTTAGGAAGCAAGTTCGGGCAAGTAACTGAAGTGTCAGTCAGAGAGCATTTTGGGCCCAGTGACTGTATCTATTTTAGTTTTAATATGATTATTGAAAATGATGGGACAGATCCACAGGTTAAGGTGCTAGACTGGAGCATGGCCAATTTTGGGGCCATTAGGCAGGGTCTAGCAGAAGTCCTTTGGGTAAGTCTGTTTGAAGGAAAAGGAATGACTGGCAAATGGGAGGCTTTTAAGTGTGATATCAAGAGTCCAGGGACAGTGTCCCTGCTAGGATAAAGGAAAAAGCTGGCAGGTTTAGGTTTCCCTGGCTGACAAGGGATATTGAGGTTCTGGAAAAAGAAGGCATACATTGGGTGTAAGCTAATGGGTTCAAGTGAATCCCTGTAACCCTGCATTTCCCATGGCTAGTCCACCTATTCTGTACATCTTTGAGCTGTGGGAGGAAACTGGAACACCTGGGGGAAACCCACACAGACATGCTGAGTGTGTGCAAACTCAGCACAGTCACCTGAGGCTGGAATCAAACCTGGGTCCCTAGCGCTGCTGCCTCAGTGCATTGAGCAACCACGCTGCCAAACTCCTCCTGAACAATAAGGGACTCAATGCTGCTCCCTGTTTGATGCCACTGGACACCAGCCTCCAGTCATGCAAGAAGCCTTCTACCACCACTTTCACTATGACCAATCTAATTGTCCATTTTCCTCATTGTATTTCAATATAGCACATTGCTTTCAGGGTAGATAAGAACAGTTCTACTGTTTACTGTAATTGCATCATGTGTATATAAAGCAGCTCCAGTTTAATTTTATTTTGAGTTATAATCTGTAGTTTCTTTTTAAATGATATTTGAAATTCCAGTGACTGACTAAATTATCTTTTAAGATTTGACTTTTCAGGTTTCCTTGTTGCAGTAATTTTTTCAGCTGATACTTTGTGCGGTAAACTTCAGTTACTTCCATTTAACCACTTCAACTCTTTTATAACTAATCAATGTTTTCCCCTTTTTATCTCCATACCTTCTGGCCAATAAGCTAACCGTGATTATACTTAGAGATAGTAGGAACTACCGGTTGCTGGAGTCTGAGATAACAAGGTGTGGGGCTGGATGAACATAGCAGGCCAGGCAGCGTCAGATGAGTAGGAAAGCTGACATTTTGGGTTTTTCTGAAGAAGGGTCCAGACCTGAAATGTCAGCTTTCCTGCTCCTCTGATGCTGCCTGGCCTGCTGTGTTCATCCAGCCCCACACCATGAATATACTTTACTTTGTCCCCTGTGCAGGTGCTTCATTCTCCAGGAAATACAGTTCAAAGCTATTCTCGCTTCTGTTTCCTTTTCCAGCCACATAACATACTTGCCTCCTGAACTAGTCATGATTATAGGATGTAGTAAACCCTGCAGTCATTTTCACAGCCCTCCAAGCTATAGGTTCTTCTTTTTTTAATATAAAAATCATTTGATGCATTCAAAGTTGCATTGTGATTCAGACACTGGCTGTCATAATGTTGAAAATCTCTTTGATTATGCTAGAGACGAGCCCAAGCTGGCTACTCTCGGGGTGCTTTGTTTACTTGCCAGGCTAATCTTGTACTGTGTTTGCTGCCTTCTGTCACTGTTGGTTTGTTGCATCTCAATCAATTCCAGTTTCCAAGTGTTTAGCGCTTTCATTGGATTTGGTAGGTTTCTTCCTTTCGCTTCATCCTGGAGATCAGCTTGATGCTTTTAAAAGTTTGTCATGCCAGTGCGTTGTGCAGGTTTCATTTGATTTTCAAAGTGTCTTGTACTAATTACAACTTGCCATCATTTTTAAGTTGGCACTATTTTTGTTCCCCTCTTTCTAAAAAGATTGAAGCAAAGTGACCTCAATTTGTTTTTCAATGTTGCATGTATTACAGCAGTAAAGGAGGTGAAGTTCACCATTCGAGAGCTTAATTGCCCTCTTCATATGTGAACATGAATACAAATGAGCATCATCGTGCCTGAATATCAGCAAAGTGTCCATACCTCCAAAATAGTGAGAATGGATTTCTTGCATTCTTTCAATTGCAAACTAATTAAGTTTTCTCAAGATGTGCATAATTAATTTCTACACCCCCTTCCATTCTGACAATCACATTTTTAAACTATTCATTGCAGAAGGTATTTTCTGAATGCTTTCTGTCTACCAGTTCTTTGTCCATGTTGGTACACTATGCCCAATCCATGGTTTAATTTTATATGCTAATCTGATGTGGGACCTTCGTCAAAAGCCTTCTACCTTTAAATTTGAAAATTTTTACTTTTCTTTGTAGTCACATTCAAACTAGTGATAACTGAAATTCTAGGTGCCTGTATTAATGTCTGCAGTGCTTTATGCTATATTGTGACTTCTTTTCTAACAGGAATAGAAGGTGGCATAAATGCTGAAGTTGAAAAGCACCTTGAAATGGGGAAGAAACTGCTGGCTGCGGGACAGTTAGCAGATGCACTGTCTCATTTTCATGCTGCTGTAGGTATGTGCATGTTGGAAATGCATTATTAATATTTGGCTGCTAATAGTATATGCATGGGTGCATTCAAGGCATTGCCTCTAGAAATAGTCCACTTGTCAACCAATTGGCACTCATTTCACAGTATAATAGAAAATATGAGCGGGAGAAGGCCCTCATGCTTGCTCTGCCATTCACTATGATCATGGCACATCACCCAACTGTGTACCCTGTTCCTTCTTTCTTCTCATATCCTTTAGCTTCCTTTAACCCTATTAAGTATATCTGAATCCTTCTTAAACATTGTGTTTTGGTCTCAACTGCTTTCTGTGACACAAAATTCGACAGGTTCACCCCTGTAGATGAAAACATTTCTTGTCATTTCAGCCCTAATCTTGGTTGTAGATTCCCTGGTTGTCAGGAACATCCTTCCTACGTTTATCGTGTCTAGTCCTTTCAGAATTTTAAATTTGAGATTCCTCTCCTTTATCCTTTTAAATGCAAGTGAATACAGTCCTAACTGATCCAGTCTCTCAGTCCTGCTATTTCAGGAATCAGATTGGTAAACCTTTAGTACATTCCCTCCACAGCCATAACATCCATCCTGTGATAAGGAGACAATGTTGCACACAATACTCCAGATATAGTCTCACCAAGGCCCTAGACAATTGCAGCAAAACATCCTACTCTATATTAGTCTTCTCAGTATGAAGGCCAATGTACCATTTGCCTCTTCACCACCTGCTACATCTGCATGCATACTTTCAGCAACTGGTTTTCAAGAATATCCAGGTCTTGATGCCCTTGCCCCTTGACCGATCTATCACCATGCAGATAATCTGCCTTAGAGATAGTAGGAACTGCAGATGCTGGAGAATCTGAGACAACAAGGTGCAGAGCTGGATGAACACAGCAGGCC